CGTTCCAAGTAGCCGGAACTACAGGCGCACACTACCACGCCCGGCTAATTTTTGATTTATTGTAGAGATGAGGTCTCGCCAAGTTGCCCATGCGGGTCTCGAACCCGCGGGCTCAGGCAATCCACTCACCTCAGCCTCCCAAAGGCGCAGTATTACAGGCTGAGCCCCCGAGCCCGGCCTTTAATTTAATTTAATTTTTTTGGCTGTCCCCAGTTTAAATAGTGCTTTACTTAAATTATTTTGGAAAATGAGAGAGGCTAGTAGTTGTTAATAATTAAACCGGTATTTAGCTGGTATCAGGAACACAGTAAGATATTTTACGTTTATAAACTGAGTCTTTATAGCTACCCTTTGAGTTAGATATCATCATTCCGCTCTCACAGATTAGAAAACCGAATCAGAAAATTTGTCCAGGCACACAACTAGGAAGATGCAGACATGACCTCTGTCTACAGAGCTACATGCTCTTTCCAATATGCCTTTTTGGCATTAGGGACCAGTTTTGTGGAAGATAATTTTTCCACAGACCAGGGTTGTGGGGCAGGGGTGTTTCAGAATGATTCAAGTGCATAACATTTATTATACACTTTATTCCTATTATTATTACATTGTAATATGTAATGAGATAATTATACAACTTGCTATCCAAAAAAAAGAAGTATAGACAGAAGTGGGAAATAAAATAAGGGGTAGGCCACATGCAGACTAAAATAAGTGTCAGATTCTGACTTAAAGCTTGCCACCAGATGCAGCTGTACAATTAAAGAACAGCAACTCACTGATGGGGTTTTGATATGAGTCTGCAAGCAACTGATTTATGATGGTCTCTGTGCAGTCAAACCTCACTGCTAGTGTTCATCTGTATTTGCAGCTGCTCCCCGGCACTAGCATCACTGCCTCAGCCCCACCTCAGATCATCAGGCATTGGCTTCTCACAAGGAGCACGCAACCTGGATCCCTCACATGCGCAGTTCACAATAGGGTTCACACGCCTATGAAAATCTAATGCCGCCACTGATCTGACAGAAGGCAGAGCTCAGGCACTAATGCAGAAGATGGGGAGCAACTGTAAATAGAGATTGAGCTTCACTAGCTCACCTTGCTCCTGCTGTACGCCCAGTTCCTAACAGGCCATGGGTCAGTACCAGTCTGTGGCCTGAGGTTGGGGACCTCTGCAATATACCGTCTTATATGAAGTGTAGCTTTAATAGATTTTTTGGAGGTTTTTAATTTTGATTTTTAGTTTTTAGTTAAAAAAAAAGTATAAGATATATCTTTAATACTAAAGTAAGAATCACCTACTAGTTGTTAAAATTCACTAGTTAGCAATTAGCTGAGATTACATCGAGGATATTTTACTATGAGGTAGAATTCCAGTATCCTGGAACACAATCTAACAAAAAAAGAAGTGTGTATTTTGTACATGTTCTCCTTCACATAAAGGCAAAAGCTGTGGAAGAAGTCAGTGACTCTTTGTGTCCCCCTGAAAATTTAATAAGAATGAAGAATCACTGGAGGGTGTGGGAACTAGTTAAGTTGTGATTCACTCTAAAGAAAACTGGATGAGAGTGGCAAATTGGAAGTAAAAAGTGGGAGAGGGAAAACGGTATTTGTTCTACTTTGGAAGTTACAAAATATATCCTACCATCACACTGGTCAGAAGACCCTTCAAAGATTGTTCAGCAGTCTAATTCTGTCTATGTGTGGTTTGTGAGAAATTGATCTTGTGGGAAAGATTGAGTTTGTGCCATGCAATTTGCCATTTAACATACTTCACAACTTGCAGATCCTTGGAGAAATGTGAACTTGTTAAGTCACGTAAGTCTGGTTTGTAGTAGCCTGGCCAAGTAAGATGTTTAAACACTATATTTTGAGAATTCATTTAAAAGTATATTTGTATATGGTTGCATTGTCTTTTCTACTACACAAAATACAAGTATGGTGATAGCTATTATCTGTGAAATTAGACTTTCTTTTTTTTTTTTTTTTTTTTGAGTTGGAGTCTCACTCTGTTGCCCAGACTGCAGCCTCGACCTGCTGGGCTCCAGCGATCCTTCCGCCTCAGCCTTCCAAGTACCCGGAATTACAGGCATGAGCTACCATGCCCGGCTGATTTTTTTATTTATTGTAGAGATGAGGTCTCGCTGCCCAGGCGGGTCTCGAACCCGCAGGCTCAGGCAATCCACTCACCTTAGCCTCCCAAAGGCACGGGATTACAGGCTTAGCCACTGAGCCCAGCTGAAATTAGACATTTTAAAAGAAAAAATTTTCCCATACTCGCACCAAACATTCTTTGCCCAGATTTTATTGTAACCAAGTGATAAGGAATTTCAGAGTGTTTTACATACAGTTTTGGAATTTGGTTATCTAAAACTGGGAAATCTTTTCATGTCTAACAATTTTTCAGTAAAATAGTATTCATTGTAATGCAATTTTACCTGAACTTCTAGTGAACAAGATTAGTGACTGACTCCTTCTGAGACCTTCTAGAATATTTGTTTATAAATATACCCGAAGAAAAGATGATGAAAATTGATCTTTATGTGACTGGCAATGAAATCAATCATTAAAGTGAATTTTCTTTCGCTGCTCAGTTTGTGATTAACATCAGAAAGTACTTATGTTTCTACTAAACTGTAATCATTTCCTTTCTTAAAGCATTTTATATTGTAATTGCTTTTTTTAATTTGTCCCTTTTTTTTTCTTTAATTATATCAAATTAACTGTGTCTTCTGGAGGTTGTCTGATTGTTGTCTTTGTTTTAGCCCTTCAGAATGAATCTGGAAAAACTCAGCAAACCTGAACTCCTGACACTATTTAGTATTCTTGAAGGAGAACTTGAAGCAAGGGACCTTGTTATAGAAGCTTTAAAGGTATGTTAAAAGACACCAAGGCCAGGCACAGTGGCTCATGCCTATAATCCCAGCACTTTGGGAGGCCGAGATGAGAGGATTGCCTGAGCCCATGGCTTCGAGACCAGTCTGGGCAACTTGGCAAGACACCTCCTCTCTACAATAAATCAATAAAAATTAGCCGGATATGGTAGCACATGCCTGTAATTCCAGCTACTTGGAAGGCTGAGGTGAAGGATCGCCTGAGCCCAGCAGGTCGAGGCTGAGGTGGCCATGAGCATGCCACTGCCCTCCAGCCTGAGTGACGGACTCCTACTCAAAAAAAAAGGACAAATGAGAGCGAGGTCATCATGCATTTTGAAAGTCGTTTTATTGGTTGCAATTATTATTATTATTTTTGATTAATCAATATTTTTTATTATGGTTTTGTGGGGTACAGTTAAGGTTAGGTGTACAATTACGTTTCATTCAGGCACCCTGTTGATTAGAGGTGTTTTCCCATCCCCTGACAGATATTTGCTACTGTTAATCCCATCCCCCTCCCCCCGGTTGCAATTATTTAACCTGGGTATTTCTATAGTTCCCCTTAAAATTAATACTTACTATGTGTTATAATTTTAGGGACACTGTGAAAGCTTTCTGTCCTCAAAATAGCTCCCTTAGTTTCCACCTGATATCTAGACCTTGAATTTCATTCTTTTCCTTTAGTGGACCCTAGTTGTTTTGAATGCTGACCCCTTTGAAAACTGGCTGAGACCCATTTCCTAAAAAATGTTTATACATCCATATGTCAAAATTCAGTATATAGTATCTGGGAGATCAAGAACCTGTGAAGACATCCATGAATTCCTTGGACCCCAGATTGAGAATTTTTGTTTTTGGTAGTGGCACCTGCCCTTAGTCTCAGCTACTAGGGAAACTGAGGCAAGAAGATTGGTTGAGCTGAGGAATTTGAGACCAGCCTGAGCAACAGAGTGAGACCCCACCTCTAAAAAAAAAAAATTCTTACTTGGGTTTAAGTATTTGCTATCTATTAAAATGAAAGAGGTAGGGGACATTGTACATATGTGGGGTCAGGAGATATGTGGAAACTCTCTGTAAAGTCTATTTTTAAATATACAAGGGGAACATTCAGGTGTCATGACCATCTTTATACCTTGGAAGGCTTTTCTCCAATCTGTCTTGAGAGCATACTTGGATAGGGGATAAAAAGACTTTAAGGGTATTTATGTGAGCAGTAGGAAGATGATATTGCTGAAAGGTGAGGGAAATGGCCAAAAATGATGAGACTTGAGCATGCTGAAGAAAGTACAGTTCCTGCAAAGTGCAATGAATAAATATCTAAGACTTGAATGAGAGGTTATATTGATGTACATCTTAAGGTTTATTAATAAAAGGTTTATGAAATGCTTTCGTACACCTTAAAAAACTATTCCTAGCTCTTTATTAAATAAAAGGGACATTTGTATTAACATTTCATATGTGTTGATATGAAACTGCTTTGTTGAAGTTTTTTATAGCAAAGATCATTCTCTCTTTGCTATTGTTAGAGGCTTGGAGAATCAGTGATTTCCTAAGTAGCCAATAATAACCACTCAGAGTTCATACAAAAAGGTCTATCTTTTATTCTTTTTTCCCTTCCTACACTGATTTAGAGTATATGTGTTCATTTAGTCATATTTGAGTAGTCTTTTCTTAGATAACTCGAAGATTTATAATTGTGACAAACATAACATCTAACCAGTTTAGAGTGACAACAGTTTATATCTTTTTTTTTTTTTTGAGTTGGAGTCTCACTCTGTCGTCCAGGCTGGAGTGAAGTGGCACACTCATGGCCACTGCAGCCTCAGCCTGCTGGTTTCAGGCGACCCTTCCACCTCAGCCTTCCAAGTAGCTGGAACTGCAGGCATGCACTACCATGCCCAGCTAATTTTTTTTTTTAATTGTAGTGATGAGAACTTGCCAAGTTGCCCAGGCTGGTCTCAAACCCATGGGCTCAGGCAATCCTCTCACCTCAGCCTCTCAAAGAGAGTTTCCACATATCTCCTGACCCCACATATGTACAATGTCCCCTACCTCTTTCATTTTAATAGATTATAGGCGTGAGCCACCACGCCCGGCCAGTTTATATCTTTTAAGGCTGACTGAAAAACCTGACATTTCTGCCTAATTAGATATACCTCAAGGTAATCACTGAAACTACTGCTGTTTTATTTTCCACTGTAGATTTGTAATGTATAGTAAGTAATCTCCAGTGGTTTTATTTCTCCAGAGTGTATTAGTTTTTTTCTGATATGGAGGAATAGAATCCGTCTCATGGCTTCTCTGGGATCACATGTTTATGGGTGTAACATACATCTGGTTATGTATGTTAAAGTATATTGCCTGAGTCATTGCCTGTCATGCCACTAAGCATTACTGTGTGACTTTGACCAAGTCATTTAATTTGTCAGGAGCAAAGTTTCCTTGTCTACAATAAGAATAAATGATTAATAACTATTATTTGTAGGTAAAACTTTACAGTTAGGGTGACTGCAGATATTTTAGCAGATATGATTTATTTCTTCTTTTCCCTTGTTTATATCCTATCAGTGTCTATCATGTACCCCGTATCCAAGGAGCAGTCAGTGGGTTGCCCATCATTTGAATGGATAGTTCTAGTGTGTTCTCAACAGTACTTAATTTTTTGATGACTCCCCAGCCAACATATATCATATGTAAATGTTCACTCCTGTTAGTGACTCATGTCCGCCACCTTCACAGACCCTCCCCTTTTGTCACTCTTGGTGTTTTCTTTACTCTTTCCTGTAAGTCTCTGAAAACCTGTATTCTTTCTTCTAACCCAGTCTCGTTATTCCCACTAGTCCTGACCTGCTTAAACCCAGGATACCCTCCAACTTCTTGTCCCATATTTATATGATCAGTGAAGAGAAAAGAAGAACTGGGGAAAGTTTGACCTCATTCCTAATCCTCACCCCTAATTGACTATTGTTATTCTCACGTTTTACCCTCATTTTCATGTCTTAACTCCCTATAACTGGGGTAAGCATAGGGGGGATGGCTGCCTCTAATAGAAAAATCAAATGACTTTGTGTTCTGTTTTATAATTTTACCTATATAACCTCTCTGCTTTTCAGTCATAGAAACTGTAGGGACCTGTAGCACTTCATTGTCTATTTACTAATCATTGTATCCTCAGCATCTAGCATAGCACCTGGCATGTAGGTGTCCAATAAGCATTGTGGAACAAATGAAATGATTTTACCATCGTGGTGTGTTCCTTTAAAGCCTGTCATCATACTTCAAAGTGAATGTTGAGAATTACTTAATTTTAAAACCTGTTCTTATGTGCTCTACAACCTACAATGCTGCCTTCTGGCTTTAATGTTAACAGATGCTTAGGTGCTTGGTGCACATGTTTTCCTAAAATACATTTTTTCTGCATGAATCCAGTTTTAGTTACGATAGGCAGCTTCTGACAAGTTGAAAGAGCAGCTTGAGAAGCAAGAGCTATAATTAAGGGAGCGTTTTGATATAAGATACCATCGAGAATCAGGCACAAGTGTTGTATTTAGTCTGCATATGGTCTGTAGGTGATAAAGTTATTCCGAGGCTTAAGTCTGTGCAGTTTAGGTGAAATGAATAGCTTCACCAGAAGTGACACATCTTTAAACAGTCTATTGTTAGATGAAATGGGCGGCAGCTGGGGTTTAAATTGTTTCAATCCTTTGAGGAAAGCAACTGCCATGCCGGATTCTTTAAGTTAAAATGAAGTCTCATTTTATTTGTAGTTTTTGGGGTTTGCTGTTGTTGTTGTTATTTGTTTGCTTGTTAAGTAAATGCTGTAAAAAATAATGCAGTAAACTCTTGATATATTACAGAACCAAAATAAGCACCTGTTGGACTTGCACTAATACGGCAACTTGCTAATTTTCTTCCTTTTAATTTTAATGCTTGATTCATGCTTAGTGGGTTGAAAAGATTCTGGTCTTTGTCCTAAATAGCTGTGATTGGTTTTTCCTTTCTGTTTGGCTTTCAGTATAAAAACTTATCTTTTTTCTCCTTACTTTCAAAATAGATTTTTGTCTGGACATATAATCTATTCTTCAACCATGTATCTCCAAACAAAACCATGTGGTTCTCTGTCACTTCTCTGGCAAGGGTTGGGTTTCTTTGGGATATATTAGAAAGTTCCCATAGTTTGATTCTACCTATAGTTAGAATTGTTTTTTTTTTTTTTTTAAAAAGCTGTATTCATTTTCCAAAATGTCTGCAAAGTGCCAGATTGCAGCTGCACCCTCCTAGAGCCCCCACAGTTCTGTTCTCTTTCTCCCCACAAGCTTCCTCACTCACTCTCTCTCGCAGCCAAGACATGTTTGGCATAGAATCAGAGAAGCCAATGGAAAATAATGTAATACATTATTCAGCGTCTTGTATATTTCAAGTTTAATTGTTCCAGAGGCCATTTGTGCTGCATTTGGTCCTAATGGAACTTTGTATAAAGTGATTTTCTGTTTTGCAAGGAATCACATCAGAGAAAAGCATTCTTTGTGAAAGTCTTTCCCTTTGACCACTTTAATCTCATGAATGAGAACACTAAAGGAATCTCCCCTTCACAATGAAAGCAAATCACATTGCTCATGAACTGCCTGGGTGAAGCTAAGAGTAGAACCACACAGTTCAGCAAGAAAGTGTCAGTTCAGTAATTTCAAGCAAATCTAAGGAATGGCTTCACAGTGGGGTCTGTGACCGGTCCAGAGGAGGATCGAGGAACCTTAATCGATGGCCATTTTTAAAATCTGGAAAATAGATTTGACTGCTAATAAAATTTAGATTAAATGTTTATTTCTCAATCTTCCACATTTACTATATTACATCTACACATCTTAGAGCTGATGCAAAGCCACACTAAAAGGGCTTTTTGACTCAACATTTATTGGTATCATTTTATTTTAAATCATTATTTTTGCTTATACAATGATAAACGGTAAAGTATTACAACTTCCATGTAGGATTAGCTT